TCATCACCCCTCCCCCACCTCTTCCTCTCCTCCTCCTCTCTTCTCCCTTTTCTCTTTCTCTCTCCACTTTGTCTTGTTTTCCCCATCTCTCTCTCTCTTGCTCTCCGTCTCTGTGTCTCTCTCTTGCTCTCCTTAATCTGATAATGCTACAATGAGATGATGTGCGTTGACAGAAACGGTTAGATGCTGATCACGTGAAACGTCGTGTGGTGATTTAAATATGTTTCACTGTATCACTCTTAGGGAGCTTGATGTCCAGAGAAAAAGATAGAAGTGGACGTTTGTTTGAAGAGACTATTGAAGCCTATAGCATGACTGACTTCAAAAAAGTCACATTTTTCCAGTACAGGGTTTCGTATACCTTTTAGAACCCTTGAAAAGAGAACCAGACAGACAGAGAAAAACTAAAATTAGCTTTACAGAAAGTGGAGATGGAGAGAGAATGAGAGACAGATGGAGACAGACAGACATAAATCATGCATCGCAGAAAGTCCTTATACTTATGAAGGCAGATACTAATGTCTTTTTTTTTTGCTGTTATATAAAAGGAATGGAAAATCAATTTAAGGAATATGAATTGAGCTTTTAATTAAGCATCCCAAAAAACAATATTCAAAATGATTGGTCAACCTTTACCATGGGTGTGTGTGTGTAGACCGATTCCCTGGGCCAAAGTAGGGCAGGAGAGCCTGGCATCGACTCAGCCTCCTGCATGAGTGACCTGAGGGAACGGTGTGTGTGTCTGTTGGTGAGTGTGTGTGTGTGTGTCCGCGCGCACGTGCATGTGTGTCTCCACCCTACAGCAAGCTGCTTACAAAGAGGGGGAGGAGCAAACGAACGCACCAGCGAACGAGAGATAGAGAAAGAGAAGTGTGCAGTAGAGAGAGAGAGAGAGAGAGAGAGTTAGCATCTGTTGTTTCTGTGGCAGCTGAGCAACACTGGACTGATTTTACACACACAAACACACACACACACATCCTCTCTGTGCCACACACTTCTGCATACCTACACACACTTCATTTGACACGCTGCCTCGCTCACATGCTGGATCCAATGTGGAGCTGGTGTTAGATCTTCTCCATCATCTCTCTTTCTCACACACACACACACATCTGCTCTCTCGCTCTCTCGTCCTGTTTTTTTTTTCTTTCTCATTCACATCCCGGGACTCTAAGCGGCAAAAACCCCACTCTCACAAGCACAGACACTTATCCGAAAGCCACCGTACCGGTATCATATGGTGTGGACGTTGTTGAGCCTGCCTGTCTGCCAGCAGCATGTGAGTACAGCTGGTGCGGTAGTTTGGAGAGACAGACCTGAACTGATTTATCTGTTAGCATCTTGCCTCTAGAAACACCTCGGCATCGCTGTTTCGGGGAGTGTTTTTTGGAAATGATGGTAATGCTAATATTGGAGCGATCTGGTGACACTGTTATCCCTCTGATGACCAGTGATGCTGCATTAACATGGTGACTCCTACGCTCTTTTTGCTCTAATGACTTTGTTTCACAGTGAGAGAAATTATCAGTGATGAGGAAACATCGGCGGTTTAGTATGAACACTTTTTGTTCTCTTAACTGTGGTACTTTTACTGTATCGCTGGATGATCAAGCTCAGCTCTGACTTCTCAACACCAGCACGCTTTGCTCTGAAAGTAGAAGACGATCAGACCTGCAGCCTTGGCAGCGCCGGCTTTGTCTTTCTCTTCAGGACTCAATATCACTGATATCCAATAGCTGCAACACAGTCTTTGTTCTATAGATCACATCAACTCTCTGTAGCTCTACATAATCTATTTCAACACTGCCTCTCATTGATCAACTTTACTTTATCGGATGTGATTTCGCTGGAATACATCTAAGCTCAGTCGCAGTCGTTAATCTGTTTCCTCTCCCTCTCTTCATTCTGTCTTGTTGTCTCGCTCCCTCTCTAACTCTCTCTCTCTCTTCCTCTTAATCCCGTAATGCTGCATTGAGGCCATGTGTGTTGACAAAGACGGTTAGATGGTGATGATGATGAAAGTTCCCACAGTGTCTGGTGATGTCGATGTGTGTGATCGCTCTGGGGTGTGTCCAGTGAGACAAACAGAAATAGAAGTGTTAATCCATCAATTTGTAATGGATTAGAGCTCAGATTGAATATGCCGGACTGAGATCAGAGATAAAAAATATGTAAAGTTAAAGCAAGAAATAAAATTCTCAGCGAAAGGGCATTTTGATCCTGAGATTGGAGGCAGTGGTGCTTCTATGTCTGCATATAACATGTAGCATTGGAAGTTAAAGGTGAACCTCCTCGTCAGCAAACATCAAATTCATTAAAGTTATTTTTTTCCAGAACATCAATGTGTTGTTTGAAACCGCATAGAAGTAAAAAAAACAAAAGCGTGAGGAACTTGTTACTCTGAATAGTGATTTCAGAAGTGTGTGTGTGTTGGAGCCGTTTTAATACAGTTTAGTTGTTTGTGTCAGTGAGCTTCAATGTGTCAGATTAATGAACGCTTTGGGGGAAATCAGAGCTGAGATCTGGGTGTTGTGGGCTGGTTTCTGACAGTGTTCAGATGCTGAGCGTGTTAGTAGAGATGTAAACAAGGAAATGAACACAGAAATAGGGAGAAAAACAGGAAAAGTCAGGAGATACTGCAGGTTCTAGATATGTGTGTGTGTATCTGTGTGTAGGTGTGTGTTTGTGTGTGTGTAGTGTACCTCAAGTATGATTGAATTACTCAGGGTTAATTAGATTCTATAGTCCACAGTAATGGTTCACACACACACACACACGCAGACAGGGACATCCTTCAGAAGGGCTTTTGCAGGCTTATTGCCAGCGGCGTTGTCATCCGTGTGTTAGTTCAGAGGTTTCTGGGAAGCTGTGTGGTGCTAAGGAGACTAAAGCAGAGTCATCAAAGATTTACTTCACACTTATCTGCTGTTTGTTCAGCCGCTCTGAATCAAGAATATCTCAATTGATTGACATTTTGAGACAGCAATTGCCTGGATATAAGTTTATGTTTTTACTTTTCCTGCTGAAAGAAGACTAACACCCTAAAAAGCCATGAATGCACATTAGAGAGCACATCTTTCATTTGTTTTCCCTCTTTGTGAATTTCCATAAATAATGTACATTTATAATTAAAGAGGCACAATGACATTTTTATGACCACTAGAAAAAGAAATGGGTCAGAAACTAAAGGGTTTTTGCAGCATGTAGCAGGAGGATACTGAAGCACAGGGCTTCTTTGCTGAGTGTGTGAGCAAACCATTGCACTTTCCGCTGATTGGCCAACTGGTTGCTCCCTCGCAATGTACTACTTGTCATTCAAGTGAGATGGGGATACAGTCGTTCCTGGCAATTAAGGCTGAAAGTGCTGTTTGAAAATCCATTGCTCTATTTGTGTAAAACATCAGCAAATGCACTGGGGAAATTTGAATTTGCACAGGTTTGAGGAAAACAAATGCATTGACATGTTTAGGTAGCAGTATTGTGGTTGCTGTGTTTGTTTGTTTGTTTTGATTCCAGCTTTGTGTTTCCATTAAGTTAAATACATTACAGCCAATGAGCAAATATGAGCGAGCTAACTAGTAACTCCTGCACCAATGATGCTCAGTCACACCGCTGCTGAGCTGCTTGAACGTCACAGTATGAACTCAGTGTGCATGTATAATGTGCAGCTTGTGTTCATTGCAGACTCGCCTGTTTGACATGTTTGACACATTTTGCCCGAGTCACATGGCTTTACAGTTTTGTGTCAGTTCTTTCCCACAAAAAAAACTCACTTTTAAATCATTGTTATTCTCGCGGTTGAAAAGAGACTGAAGCCCAATTGTTGTAGTATGGTAGACTTATGAAACGAAACATTTCACTATTTGAGGGAAGAAAACAATGAAGGAGGGAATAAGGAAATGGTTTGGACTAAAGTTGATAGCCTTGTTCCAGACCTCTGAATCTCCGCCCACATCTTGGTTTGTTCAGCATTTTAAACACGCCTAGTGTTGACCCCACTGAAGGTCTGTTCGTGCCTGTTGTGACCTAAGTAGGGTTCAGTGTACTTGGCTTTCCTTCTTTGTTTCACGATGCTCCCAATCAACTAACACCTCCTATCCAATCAGTGACACCTGGTCCACCTACAAAAGGCCCTTCGCTCTCTCTCTCAGCCGGCTAAACCAGTTATTTCCTTGGACACTGCTGGATGGATTTATCTAATAAAATAAATACATTCTGATATCTGCATATATGAATAGCAAAACATCCTGCGTGAAGAGATTTGTAAACGCAGATATTGAGGAGTGGTGTATCTCAAACTGGCTGTGCGTGTGTGTGTGTGTGTGTGCGTGCGTGTGTGTGTGTGAGTGAGTGTGTGGATGTGTGTGTGTTTATGATGACATTGACATGGACTGGGTCTGATGTAACAGGAGTTAATATGCAGATCAAACAGACTATTAGATTATGGCTGTAGAGAATCAGTTGACAGCTCAGTGCTTGTGTCTGTATATCGATGAATTTGTGTGTGTGTGTGGTGTGTGTTAATGTAATGTGTGTGTGCGAGTGTTTGTAGCTAAGCAGGATAGTCCAACACTTCTGCCCTTGAACATGGTAAACAAACTTCTTGCAATTTCAAAATGCATCTTGTTCTTGTTGTACTCCTGCCATTTGTAGGAAATGTGGTTAACACAGTGCATAAACACTCTGCCACCCTTAAAGCTGTGTGTGTTCATGCCTCTGATCTTCTCTTTGATCATCGAACCGTAATGAGATTTCTGAACTACCGAGCAAAGATGATTGAAGCGTAAAAAAAACGCTGTCGCTCAGCTGCTTCTAACGTGGAGTAACGTGTTGCTTGTAAATTCGATTATCTATATTTCAGTAGTTTGTGTAAGCATTCATTTTTAAAACCTGTTGCCTGCTCTGCTAGGTCTAACAGTGTTTGTCTTCATTTTGTGTGTGTGTGTGTGTGTGTGTGTGTGTGTGTGTGTGTGTGTGTGTGTGTGTGTGTGTGGGTGTAGAGTACAGTCGTTTCGAGGCGAAGATCCATGACCTGAGGGAACAGATGATGACCAGCAGTGTCAGCTCCAGCTCTACGTCGCTCCGCTCCACACAGAAACGCACACTATACGTCAGGTAAGACACACACACACACACACAAACACACACACACACACAACAGTCAGTGGTGACTGATTGTCTCGTGTCCTTCAGAGTGACACAACTATTATAAGGCCTTATCTCAACTGTCTGCTCTACGTCTTGTGTGTCTGAGATGCTGGAAAAGAGGTTATCACATTTTAAAATCACAATTAGATTTTCTGGCAATACTGTCGAAAACACAAACACATCCATCGCCTGTCAACTCTCTCGGTTTCCTGCGTGTTTGTGTGCTCCTCTGTCCTCTTGTCCTTGCCTGTCCTGATTGTTCAGTCTTCTCTGAATCACCCCGTCCATCCTCTGCAGAGCCCAGAAGCAGTGTCAGTCCTAATCCAGCTACAATTTTAAGATCCTTTCTTCACAAGAATCCCAGCAGTTGAAATATTGATTAACCGCGAGGTCACTGGGACCAGATAAGTCACAATGGATCTCTTGGAAGATCAATACAATGGAAAGCAAAGACGGTAGCTCTAATGATCACACTAATGATTAAATCCACGTGTTAGGCTTTAAAGAGGCAGGGAAACATTTTAGAGTTGTATCAGTTAGGCTACAACTGAAGATGATTCAACAAGTTATCGAAGAGCAAATATCGGCCCCAGTCTCTGTCAGTCATTTTAATTAAAATTAAAATGTTTTTCTAGATATGTATTTCAATCATGGATTTAAAAAAAAAGTGACTGAAATGAAGAGTCATTATCAAAGTAATTCTGACTATTTGATATTGTGCCATTTCAGATGAGACCAGGGCTGTAAAGATAGTCAATGAGGTTTATTGTTACACAATAATATATTATTTCTTATATCCGTGTTTGTATTATCTGTGTAGACGCTCCATAGTTGACAATGTGTTTGTGACAGAGGATATTGTGAAAGAAATAGTAAACTGTGAATTGTCTCAGCCATGAACCCTTAACTGGCTCTTTGTTGACATTGTGACTGACTCTTGTGCAACATCACCTTCGATTAGAGAAATGAGCACCAAAACATTCAACATCGTTTATATATCTGGTCCAAAAATACAAAGCACAGAGGAAACTACAGCTGACAAGTACTGGGCATGAAAGGAACATCTGACCTGAACTGTGTGCTCGTGGCCTGGAAGGAAGGGCAAATCAGCAGCTGGAACAGAGTCACCTTGAACTACTCTCACAGACTGACTCACACACGGAGCAGCGCTGGGGTCAGATTCTGTACAGGCAGATAGAGGCCAAGCTTTCACATTCATTTCTTAGAGTGTGTTAAAGTGAATGCCAGTGGACCCACAATGCTTTGTAAAACCTGGAATGACCTATTTGGCATACCCGCCATTAAAACCAATGATCCTGTTTGTGAAGTGTAGATTTAATAGAAAAAGATGTGGAAACATGACATTGCAGCTGCTTGCCGTCACCCATAGGCATGACTATCATGAGCATAAATGAAGTGTGTTTTTACTTGACTTTGGATAAAAGTAAGGAGAAACGTTCTGTCCACTGCTCATTTGATTAAATCAGAAGAGTTCTGCATTATCATGCTTACACACTGATCGTTGTGATATGCTGAAAAGCACTTTGAGATGCATTACAGTGGATTTCAGATTGATATTTTGCAGAAAATAATAACCACAATCACATAGAAGAAACACAACGTTTTTTATATATGAATCTGCTTTAACAGCCAATAGTATAACACCAAAACAGCAGGTTCACATACCAAAACAAAATGAAAGTTTAATTAGATCCAGTCCAGAGGCCTACATCGGCATCTCTTGGGCCATGCTGCAAACAGATCGTGCTGCACTTGACTGTATACTCGTAGATTTAATAGGAACATATAATGACATCGCCTGTGAGTTAATCAGTTTACATGATGAATATGAATGACAACATTCCTCCCAGTCTTATTAAAATCAAGCAAGGATTATGTCAAGGTTATATAGAATAATGTAGTACACCCCCCCCCCCACACACACACACGTGATAGTCCCTGTTGCTGGTTACTGCACATAAATGGCCAATCAGCTTTACATTTAAAAAAAGGAACTCTCAGACTGGCCACTGATTGGTCACGGTGAGGCTGTTGGTGCGTGACAGATTTGGGGTGTCTGGTGCTGTGGGCTGCTGTGTGTGTGTTCATGCATGTACATACAGGTTGTGTGTGTGTGTGTGTGTGTAGTGGGGTGTTAGCAGAATATGCATAATGGGTAAGAAGACTAACCTTTTCCCAGAGGAAATGTCACTGAAGCAAGGTGACATCTATGACTGTCTTTTGTGTAAAAGGTGTGTGTGTGTGTGTGTGTGTGTGTGTGTGTGTGTGTCCTCCCTCCTTCTTATTTTGCACCCTTAATGTCCTGTTTTAAACGCATTGTATGGCTCGATAGCGTGTCCTTATACACCACAAAGATTCACTGGAAAGGCAGGGACAAAGTAATGATAAAGTCCCATCCCCATTCAAAGTGTATATTATATTCTCAATGACAAATATAAATGAATGTCTTTATATTTTCTTAATATAGATTTCATTTATGCAGCTGCACATTTAACATTATTAGGATTTCTTGGCTACCAAAGCATATAAAGACAGGTTCAAAGGGCAAACTGACCTGACATGTCATTATATTGTATGAGGATTTGATCATTGGATTTATATAAGAACATTGATGCATTGATTGAGGTTCGAGAGCTGTATGCAGGCTTAGACCCGGTGTAAAATAAAACCAATATCTCTAGTTTTCTTGTGCGTATATCAATTCCCAAGCATTTAAGCAAACAAAATGCTCCGGGACATTTGCCTCTTGAAACAGAATATTATGGTTTCAAATTGCTCAGGGGCTTTTTTTTTTTGAGTAAGTTGTTTGAATGTGGTCTGACTTTTATTCTGAGAATATATTAGATTTGATCAAATTCTAGTATGATAACAGTAAATATAAAAAATACAGTATATGTTAAAGGTTCTAAAGTACTATGTACTTACTCCCTGTTTTTTTATTAGACATCATACGTTCACATTCCAGTCAATTACCCTGCATATTCTGAAATAAAGTGCATGTATGCAGTAATCTTACGAGTATTCGGTGAAAAGTAAAACCACAATGCAGTTTGAACTAAAGGCTGCTGGCTGTGCAGAAAACAGCACTATGTTGTTTGAATTGGGAAAAGGTGTAAAAGATGATCAGGTGTTTCTGTTACACTCTGCAGTAATTACTGTGTTCCTTCACTCGAGTAATGAGATTTCAGAGGCTCCCACATAGGAATTAAAACGACTGTAATACTTAGAGCTGGTAATTGATTTAGAGTTACATTTACATGTGGCCTTAATAAGAAACGATCCATCAGTGTAACCTGCTTGCTAAAACATCCCTTTGGGATTTGTAGAACTCTTATTTCTTGCTGTACTTTATATTTCTCTCTTGGTGACATAATGAAGGAAAGGAGGATCATTTAAACACTTCCACCTGACAGCATGCCCTTTCATAAATATATCTGTGGTCCCAGCGATATAAATGCAACACTGCACCTCATGTTTACAGTATTTCTTGTAACCTTTCACATACATACATCAATATACACAGTAATGCTATAGAAAGGTTATACTGAAATAGAGTTTGGGTGAATATAATAGTTAAGGTTACACATTTCCATAGATATATTTCCACAGGTTAACTCACCCACTGGGATGAGGCCAGTACAGGTCACCCTGTAAGCAAACTTTCAAGCAATTATTGAGAAATTACATTCCTGTAAAATATAATGAACTGAACTTGGTGCCTGATGGTCCTGTTTCATCTGATTTAAAGATCATAAAGTCACGTTTTAGCAGCCAGCTAAATATATAATGTCCGTGGGGAGGTCTTCCTTTTCTCATCTTTTAATCTAACATCAATAAACCATGAGATTATGTTTTTTGTACTGATGTTAGACTCTGTGTGTCTACCTCTTCTGTCTGATTTTCTCTCCGTTCCTCCTTCCCTGTCTATGTTCTGTTTTATTGATGAAGGCAGGAGGGACTTTAGGGGATGCCAGTTATTTCAGCTCTAGTTCCTTTGCACACACGGACACACGCGCACACACACACACACACATACTGCTGGCCTACTTTCCCAGGTCTTTTCCCTCTGGACTGGTTTGGAACTCTGTGGTCACCGTTCAGACACACACAAAAGCACACAAACAGAGTGACATGCGCGCAGACAGATGTGTACAACTGCACGCACGCGCGCACACACACACACACACACAGAGGCATGTACACACAGACAACGTCATAAAATATTAGTGTAGGAAAGTGGCCCTCAGCTGTTTTGGCTGATACAGATCTGTCTGTCTGTATTGTTTTATCAGTTTATTCTATTATTTTAGTATTTATGATAGATGTCAGGTTGTTATCAATAGTTGTGAGAAATGTGAAAGGCATCAGGACAATGTTTTTTTTCTAAATTAGAAAAAGGAAAATAATTAATGAATATTTTGACATTTCTAACAGCAAAAGGTGTGCTGGGGGTTCATATTTAGGACAAACCAAAATAAGGAGCATTTCAACATCAATGTCCCTACATTGTCTGTTTCCGTCCCCTCCAGCAGATTGTATTGTCACACTAAAGGTGTGTTTTTCTCGATGTGTATTGTACATAGTTTGTTTCTCTTTCTGTCTGCAGAGCATTGTTCGACTACGACGGAAGCGCGCCAGACCTGAGCACGCCCAATCAGGCCCTGCCTTTCCATTTCGGGGATGTCCTCCACGTGAGCAGCGCTGGCGAAGAGGAGTGGTGGCCAGCCCGTCACCTCAGCCCCCCGCCTCCAAACTGCCCTGAAGTCGGAGTCATACCCAGCCGCAGGAGGTCAGAGGTCAAAGGGCTTGGGATGGGAGTGGGCTGTTGATTTTGATTGATTGAAGTCTGTGAGCTAGTTTAGGCAGTTGATTCGAGCCCCTGTTCCTATACGCTCACATGGCACAGTACTCTCACTGCAACATACAGCATTTCCCAGTAGAGACGTTAGTGTCATTGTTCCCCACTTCCTGCTGTCCTGAACCTGGCGAGGGAGAGACAAGGTCAGAGCCTAGACGCCAAACATCAATGCTGTACACACTCCCCATTCACATAATCAATTTGCTCTTCATGCCCTCCCCTCGTCTCCTCTTCCTCTTCATCTCCACCTACTCTTCCCCTCTTCCACCTAATCCTCCTTCCAACTCCTCTTCTCCTTCTCCTAGTCCTCTCCTCCTCCTTCTCTCCTCTTCCTCCTATCCTTTTCCTCACCTCTTCCTCCTCTTGTCCTCTTTTACTCCTCTCATTCTCTCCATTCTCCTTTTTCTGCTTCTCTACTCTTCCCCCACCTTTACTCCTGTCCTCTCCTCATCTCCTCCTCTTCTTTCTTATATTTATTTCTGTTCCACCTGCTCCTCCCTCTTTCCTCCCCTCCTCCCTGCTCATTGTAGTCTTCTCCTCTCCTCTTCATCTCATCTCCTCATCCTTGTCCTCTCCTCCTTTCCTCTTCCTCCTATCCTTTTCTTCCCCTTCTCTCTCTGCATTATTGTTATCTACTCATCCTCTTTCTCTATGACCTGCTCCTCCTCCTTTCCTTCCCTCCTACCCCTCCTCTACTCCCCTTTTCTTCTCTTTGTACTCTTATCCTTCTTCTCTCTTCCTCCCCTCATCTCCTCCTCTCGTCCTCCTCCCCGTCCCTTCCTCCTTCTCCTCCTCCTTTCTGTTTCACCTGCACCTCCACCTCCTTGTTCTCTCTTCCTCTTCTCCTTCTCCTCTTCTGTTCCTGATCTTCTCTACATCTCATCTTGTCCTCTTCTCCTCATCTCCTCTTCTTTCTTCTCTTTTCATCGGCCCCTGCTTTTCTCCTTCCCTCCTCTACTCTCCTTCTATCCTCCTCCTTTTCTGATCCTGGGCAGCTCTCAGCGGTGGAGAGTTTCAAATTGCTTTTAGTTTACGCTGGTGTGTCATTTTGCTGCTGGCTCATAACACATCATTATATAGAATCTGCTGAATGTAAACTGGAAACTTCTTCCTCTCACCTCCTCCTTGTTTCCCAGCAGAGGAGGTGACAGACAGATGTTGATAAGTTTCCCCGGTGGGAAGAGCAGATTTAGATTTAGTCCGTCTATGACACGGGGAGAGGTGACGAGGATGGAGCAAGTGTTAGTTAGTGCGAGGATTAGAGGCAACAAGGATGAGTGTGAGTGAGCAAATGGAGCATGGGAGGGATGAACGTAGAGATTGTCACACAGAGGTGTAGACGGTGGGGTATTAATAGATGGAGGTGTTAGAATAGAGGTTGGTGCTTTATGAATGGAGGAACTGAGGTATAGTCAAGAAATAAAGCTAATAGAACTTTGCTTATTATTGAAAAAAAGTAAGAAAGAAGATATTAGATTATGGACACCAGATGTTTGGATATTAGAAGAGGAAGCATTAGATACAAGATATTATAGGATTCAAACCTGTGGTGGAATAATGTTGATCAATCATTGATTGTTAGAGGCTGGTGTGATATGAAGTCTAATATGTGATGTTAATTAGTGAAATAATGAGCCACGATTTGAGGAAGACCGTGTAATTGCCCCTCCCTCTCCTCCACCTCCTCTCCACTATATGTCCTCCACCTGCTTATCCTCGTCTCCCCTGCTTCTCTGTTTCTCATCTCCACCTCCTTCTCTTCCTCTTTCTGCTCACCTCCTCTCTTCCTTCTTCTCTTCCTCTTTCTGTTTCACCTGCTCCTCGTCCTCCTCCCTCCCCTCCCCTCCCCTCATGTCCCCTCTCATCTCCTTCTCAATTAAAATAACCATTGGCATTCAAATTTCATTCCAATCATGTAATTTCAAAGAAAGATCCCTTTTCATTTGTAATCACATTCAGATTAGGGTACACGATATCTCTTTATGGTCAAGTTACATAATAAGTTATATAATATCTGGATATTAAGTCCACAAAATTGAATCAGCTACCGCTTACTACTATTCAAAAATCCTGCTTATAGACAAGATAGTTCCAAAATACTTTAAATCTGATAAGCTATTAATTTACTTTTTGAACAAGGAACGTTATATGTTGACTTCATTTGTTTATTTTTTGGAATGTGAGAAGATTTGAAGTTATCACAATGAAACTTGCATTGTCAATTACGTTGGATTAAATTTGTTTTGTACCACGAATACATTTCTAATCATAGACCTGTCTGTGTAGGTAGAGGTTGGGTGGACGAGTGTGGTAAAGAAACACAGAACTTACCCCCAGAAGTCCGCTGTTCATATCCAGTATAAAACCAATAATCAACGCTGACTTATTTTAATTTACATCCGTAACTTAAATAATATTACAAACTAATTTATAATACTTATTTTAAGACAAAAGATTATGTTTTACGATAGCATACCAAGTAGTTTTATTGTCTAAATATAACCATGTCGGTTTTCTTTTTTTTTCTTTTTTCAATTTACGACGTTAATCACATGTTCTGTGATAACAGGTTTAATCTTCCAGACATGAAAGGGGATCAAGAGTTCACATTTGCCTGGTTAAACCCCCATTATTTTACTGTGAACAATTACTGTTGTGTAGGCGTGTTTCACAATGAAGCAATGAATAATGTCTGACATGCCTGAAGAAAGTCCCAATGACAGGAGGCCGTCCCTATAACTGTTACTGTGCAAAAGAACAGATTTTGTCTGAAAAAAAATGACAGATTCAAACAGAGTAGATGGGGAGTAAATATAAATTTGCGCCATTTATTTGTATTTGCTTAAATCCAATCTCTGATGTTTGTGTTGATGTCTGTCCTCGCTTTGCATTTCTCTTAGTGTTTTTATTTTCCATCTCACAGGGCAGAGAAAAAGGAGAGGTCTAGGTTAAAGACGGTCAGAGTGATGAGGTCTCAAGACAGATCGGTGAGTAGAAAGCTAATTTAAAACGATGTTTGGTCCTCACAAAGGTCACTTGAGTCTTATCCTCAGTGGTGTTGGCGCACTGACCAGCACGGGGTTCATTACTCAAATAAGTAACTAATAATAGGACAGATGAAGTCAGAAGAAATACTCATCCTCTTTTTCCTCTTTAACAGTACGACTAAAGGTTGTTGCTTAAAAAAGATGAAACCCTTTTAATCCGAGTTTTCTCTTATTCCCTTGTGGGTCAAATATTCTTAAAAAACAGCAACATAACAACATAAATCATGAATACCATGTGAAACTTTTAATAACAGCTTTCTGTGAGCTTCAGTTCTCTGATGAATTCTCGAATGAGAACTTGTTGAGATGCTGTTGAACGAGGTGCAGAAGGAGGTTTGACATTGTGTTAATTTATGTTAATTTAATATTTCACCTGCGCACTTTATTATACATATCTGTGCTGTTAATAGATTACAAACAATGCTTCCACGCAGAGATGTTAAACCTTTCTACCATTTCTCATTCAAGCTGTCTCAATGTGAGAACGCGACACTTAAATCAAATCAAAACACATGTTTTGTCTCATACATGATCACACACAGTACAACGTGTAGTGGAATTTGTTTATGCCTATAGCTCCAGAGAGCAACTAACAAATAGAATATAATAAAATACTATAGAAGTAGAATTAGCAATAAATACATTTCAGAGAAATGGAAAAGTAAACATTGAATCAGTTTGACCATGATATATTGAAAGCAATACAACCGGTACATAGTATATGGAAAATCGGTTTTAGGTACAGGAAAGACAGCGTTATTGTATAGCACATAAGCTGCTCCGTGTTCTGGAAACAAGCTGACATCGGTACAATATGAACCCACCTATTGCTAAAGCTCCATAGAGAGTGAGCGTTACTAAATCAATATTTTATTATGAATTCGTTGGCAGAGACATCAAATCAATCACTCAATCCTACTTTATTTATACAGCACATTGTATGCAGGTTATTGCTGTTTTAAGTGCTTCACAGGTGACTGACAAGCAAAAAGTGAGACGGAACAGGAGTGGGCGGTGAAAATAACTGAAAAGACAAAAAACAATTCAGCAAGTTAACAGTTTAGCAATTTTAGACCAATGCACATGATTCACCAAATATGTAATGATGAAATATAATTAAAAGCTACAATAACAATAATAGTAGTAAACATTGTGAAATATAAACTGGACTAATTTAATAGAATACAATTAAGCAACTTATTAAATACAATAAAATAAGTGATGAATAATATAACAATAAAAAAGACTACATTTTTTTCAACTTAAAGATAATAAAATAAGAAAAATGTAAATTAAATGGTAAGATGTAGCTAAGGTCTAATGACAATGCAGATACACCATTCTTAAACAATAGCCTTAGCCAATGTAGCAGCCTCAGTATTCTGAATGAGCTGTAGCTGTTTAAAGAACTGTTTTAGAAATATAATTGCTGGTGTTGCTGTTGATTGTTAATGATTATTTCTACTCATTAAATCAGTCAACCAGTAAGTCATGAGGGATTTTGTTGACTAGGAAATATTGTGATTACTCTAAACCTCACATCACTAATACCACATTAATATTCACCAATATGCTTTGGTCTGTAATTATTGATCCTTTTTACGTGAGAGTTGACTGTTTTGCAGTTGAATCAACAAATGAATGAGTTGAGCAACTCCTAGGTGTATGAGCTGACACAAATGTGTTTGGTCAGTGACAGCCAGACCACTTGTTACTGGCAAAAGTGTCGGCGGGTTAACTATTAATTAAATGTACAAACTAGCTTGTTGTTACTTTGATTGTTCTGACTTAGAAAGTTTCCAGTCTGAGCTCCAAGTCGAAGCGAGACTTTAATCACACTTCACACAGCGTGATGATCAGAGCTGACACGCGAGTCTAACGCAGGCTATTGATATCACTGTGTTGTCAGCTCGCGCTCTTGTTTTTTTTCTCACACTGCGTGAATCTGCAATCAGCAACTCTACACGGTGAAGAGCTGATAATTAAAAATGATCACACACGCTGTTTCCCCTGGCTCCATGCTCTGAGAAAAACTGCAAATTAGTCTTGCTCGCTCAAACTGTGTGTGAGAGGAACAGAAAGCCCGTGAGATTTCAAATAGTGCTTCAGTCAAGATACTGTTATGATCATCTTCGGTATGATGACTAATGCTCTCTCTCTCTCTCTCTCTCTCTCTCTCTCTCTCTCTCTCTCTCTC